GATTCGCGTCTCACCACACGCGCGCGCGATCGATGGCCACGATTCCACGAGAGGGTTGCGTTTCGTAAGACCTGCTCGCACCGCCCCGCCGCCTAAAGAGAAGAATAAAGAAGAAGTTGGGTAGGTGAAGTTGGGTAGGCGTCTTAAGGAAGATGTCTACACCTACCTATCTTCACCTACCTATCTTCACCTACCTATCTACACCTACCTACCTACACCTACCTGTCTATACCCACTTATCAATACCTACCTATCAATATCTACTTCTGATGTACTTTGATATTGTTGATCTGATACTTCTACTTCATATGTTATGTTGTGATGTGATATTATTTTATCACATGATATGAGATGATATGATCTGACATTGATGTGATGTGATATGATATTAAAACATGATATGATATGATATGTTATGACATTGTGATGTGATATGATATTATAACCTGATATGATATGATAACCTATGAGGTGATGATTAGATGATGATGTTGTGAGGGTGAAGTAGGAGAAAGTTAGTAAAGAATATGAAGTAAGGAAGGTGAAGTAGGATAAAGAGAGTCAGGAAGAGAGAGTGGGGAAGATGAAGTAAGAGAAAGAGAGTAAGGAAGAGAGAGTGGGGAAGATCAAGTAAGAGAAAGAGATTAAGGAAGATGAAATAGGCAGCAGTGCTTAAGGAAAAACCCTTCGCAGGTGCTTTCGGGAACAATCCTATCAAATATACCTTATTGTTTTGATAGTTGTTTTGATGATAGATGCATGCTACATTTCCAGAAGCAAGTGAGCTTGAGGCGCGCACGCACTGCTTGAAGCAACTCTTGGCAAAGTCATTGCTCCTTGCGCAGGGCTTGCTAGGTATGTGTAGAACGCTGAGCCGGCCAGACTTTCCGCAGGCACTTTGCTGATGCCCCAGGTGAGTAGCCCAAAACGGCCCGCAAAGACCATCGAATCCCATGGCTGCGCTGAGCAACCATGGGCTATTTGTAGAAGGTCAACTTGATGGCGTTTGGCTCAATGCTGATTGCCCATGGGAATTTTACACGGTGCCTTGGCAGCCAAGTCAATTCGGAGCCGGAACCGAGCGTCCTGCATTCTTCTCAGGTGACCGGCCAACGAGTGATAAGGGCCAACTCCCAGGGCTTTCGTGACTTGGTTGCTGCGATGATGATTTGCGTCAGAGAAAAGCATGCGTAGGATCTAGGACAATAAAACGGCATGACTTGTTACCGCGGTCTACGGGCCTACGCCAGCCCTCAGACCCATATCTCTTGCCAGGAGAGTTCAGTATCCGATGGGATCCAGGCAGGCTTTCCTGGCAGTGGGGCAGACATGGCCGTCTCACCATGCAGTGGCTTGGGGTTGACTCCATCGCATGGGTTCCTGACATGTGCCTTGTCTGCCTTGCCTTGTCGTGCTCGTTTGGAAGGAAGAAGGGTCAAAAGTTGATGAGAATAATTGGTGTTGACCCACCCCCACTGTGCAAAAAAAGCATAATGTGATGGCCAAACTCCTTACTAATCTATTTTTCCAATGTCATTAAAAAGCAAAAAAGTCTGATATATTGCGTAGATGTTCAATTCATACTCAAGTTTCACCTGTGCACACCGCAGGTCGCATCAAGGTTCAAGAAAAGGACCGCTTTCGCATGGTAGCGGAGCACACGGATCCCGGAAGGGTGAGGCTCAGATTTGCGATGCCATGGCTGGTGCGGAGGGTTCTCCGGTGATGAGCCCAGCTGGAATCCCTAGTGGAGCAGCAGGCCAGCAGATAGATGGAGCAGAATTGGCGAGGAGAATGATGTTGGCGACAGAAGCTGCATCCACGGCAGCTACGGTAGCAGCTCAAGCTTTGGCAGGGCTAAAGAGCCGAAGACACGATGAAAAGAGTTGGTACAAGACATTGCCCAAGCCTGGAGTCTTTGATCTCAAGAGTCGAGAAGAAGAATTGTCAATGTGGCGTGATTTTGCATGGTCATTGGAACCGTGCTTAGCATCCTTTGATATCGAACATCTCGCAGATTTCGAAACTTTGAGGAAGAATCCATCGACAGAAGTTGACAGGTCCTTGATGGGAGACAAGGAGAAAAGCCGCAGTTCATTTTGTATAGTCTTTTCGCGATTGAAATGGGTTGGAGGCCTACAGACAACTTCCCTCAGCATACTCAACGCTATTCTCGGCTGGTCTTCATTTAACACGCAGAAGAATTCGTAATCGCAACTTGTGAAACTAGAAGATGCTTTGCGAGAGTATGAGAAGACTGGAGCAAGAGATCAAATTTGCTGTACTGATGAAGTGTCTTTCAGGGAATATCAGAACTTGGCTACATCTGCAGAGTTCAGAATCCACAAGCTATGTCACTTTGACAGAGAAGGTCCTGGAGTATGACAAGGCAACATTCAACATTGAAGTGGGGCCAAGCTATGATGCTGACTTCGGATGACAAAGGTATGGCGCCTATGGACATTGATCGAGTTCAGGACAAAGGAAAGAAAGGCAAAGGAAAGACTAAGGACGGTAAGTCAAAAGGAAAAGGGAAGGACAATAAAGGCAGCAAAGGTAAAGGGGATGGAGTTGGAACAAAGAAGGCTGCGCCAAGGGGGAAGCAATCTTCCTGGAAAGATGATAGAGGAAAAGGCAAAGTATGCTACACATGTGGTAAGCCAGTGCCAAAAGATTGGAGAGTTCGGCAGGTAGCTGAGAATCCACAGTCCTCTACGGCATCAACTGGAGGTGGAACCAGCAATGCAGCGCGAGACGACGCAAGCGCAGCAGCTTTGTCTGCGCATGCCAATCGAGCCAGCGCCAAGAGAGTTTCACAAGCCTCTTGGGAGAGTGTTTCACAAGCCTCGCTGGATCCTTTTGTGGTTGATTTGAGGGAGCTAGACGAAGACCGTGGCGTGACCAGGGCAGTCCAATTTTTCTTCATGGAAGATGGGCCACGGGAGTTGAAGATGGGCGCAGTACGGGCTACAGCAGACGCTGACGATGGTTTCCTTGAGAGTGAAGAGCATGGTTTCCAGTAGTTTTGGATTCTGGTGCAGATGCCACAGTCCTACCAAGCGAAATGTTCACAGAGGTGGGACAACCATCTCGGGAGGAGCCACATCGTCTTCATGATGCTCAAGACACGAAGATTGGAGTGAAAGGACTGAGAGACGTGTGCTTCATCATGCAAACAGAAGAAGGCCGTGAAGCACAAGTGCGTGAAAGGGCCCACTTTGCAGACGAAGTTCGGCCACCAATCTTGTCGTTCATCCGGGAGATTGTTAGAGGCTGGATGGGGGGGTATAGATGGTCAGGAGAAGACTCTTTCCGTTAGAGATGCAGCACAAGAGCCTGATTGCAGGCGAAGATTCGCAAGGTGGAAGCATTACCACATTTCGCGAGCGCCCTAGATGCAGTGGAAGTGAAGCTTGGAAATGAGCTTGAGGAGACAGCGGGGTGGAGGGAGTCTGGAAGCAAGTGGATTGGAATTCCTTTGTCCACGAATCGTCAGACACCTCTTGGGGTGAGTGGCATTGATCAAGAGATAGCCTGGGACAGGACTACCTTCGCGAAGGAGCGCGGCAAGTGGAAGTTGGTTGAGATGGCGATGCCTCTGAACCTGATGATGGAGCAAGAGGAGAAAGTAGAAGGCTTGAAGCAGGGAGCCTTAGTGTCGACAATCTTGTCAGCAGGTGAACATGGACCAGAAGATCTTGGCTTTGAAGCCTTGAGGAGATTGAACGTCAGCAAATGTATGAGCAAGACCCTTCAATTCAAGAGGGTAGATTGGCGCTGGGAAGTCCGGACACTGATGAAGTTGAAGCGAATGGCATCACTTTGACAGGGGATGGTCCACTTCGTGAACTTCGGGCAGCTTGCAAGTCTTTCGGATTTTCACAGTCTGGGAGCAAATTGACACACTTTGAGCGAATCATGAATGCATCCTACATAGAGCAAAGCAGGATAGACATCTTCGAACTGGACCAGCCAGAATGTCAGGTATCCTGGTCATCAGTCTTGGTCTTTGCTTCACCAAAGCAGGCCTTATAGATAGAACAGATCCAAGGGAAGCTAGTAGAAGAAGACGAAAAGGAGGAAGTAGAGGAAAGAGGCGAACTTGGTGGAGAAAGATGATTGAAGGAAGTAAAGTCAGCAATGTGGATGACCATGACATATTCACAAACGGGAAGGGTGGCAGCAACGCCGTTGAAGTAAAGCCCAAATCAACTTTGCAGCAAAAGAAGTCATGACATTTTGTCAGCAGGTCACCACGAAGTAGCTTTCTATGGAGGGAATGAACGAACCATCAGATCGATTTTGAGAATTCTGTTGAACAGCAGACATGCACTTGGATTGAGGACAAGAATTCTCACCTCCCGTATTCGCGATAGTGCTGGAAACTCGCTGGCGGAGAATGCACAGCGCAACGAGTACGAGGATTGATGTGTACCATCGTGGAGGATTTGATGTCAAGAAATTAAGTGGTGCTGAATGGCAATCACCCATTATGGTCATGGGCAGCTAAGCACTCTTGCTGGACCGTGAACAGATTCCAAGCCTATCGTGATGGAGCGACAGCTTTTGAATTGAATTGGTTCATGGAAAGCAATACACAGGAAGCATCGCACCTTTTGGATGTCCAGTCTACGCCTACGTGAGGTCACAAGCTCTAAATTCGCGGAAAGGAGATCCAAAGTGGAAGATGAAAATCTTCTTGGACAAGATGCTTGGATTGTGTCAGGTGGTGAAAGAATCACGCTTACAAAAAATGTGAGAAGAGTGGATAGACCTTGGACGAGATTTCTTGCTTCCTACATGGGATTTTCCTCAGCATCGTGCAAGTTCCACACCGACTTTGGAGGACGCATAGTGGCCAATGCCACCTTTGGAAGCCAATGCCTACCGACACCGTGATCTCGACGCGGAAGAAGTTGAGAACTATGCCAAGTCCTATCAAGGTAGAGCAGAAACAATTAGAGAACTACAAGAAGTTGCGGAGGAATTTGGTAGAGAACTACTCATAGGCCCAGGAACACCAGCGCCAGCGGTCGTGCTGAACCGCAACCTGGACAACCAATAACACCAGAGATTGCGCAGGAAGATAAACCTATGGAGAAGCTAGAGGATGTGATCTTTCAAGAACTTCCATGGGAAAGAGCCTTGAAAAAGACACTGCCACCGGAAAGCGCAATCTTACCAGAACCAGCTCCGAAAAGAAGCAGAACAGAGGAAAGGTCGCCAAGTTCTTTGCGGATTCAGATGATTCAAGAGCGACTTAGCAGAAGTACAATGTCAGGACATTGAGATGCACCACTTGGATGAAGTAGTCAATGAATGAAGAGAGCTGATATGCTCTTGAGGAGAACCTTCGGAGGAAGAAGAAGAAACAGGGATCCTAGATGAATTGTGGAGCAATGAGGCTTTGAGTTCAATGCCAGGACAGCCACCAGCAGAGGTAGATCTTCTTGCAGATAAAGGCGATTGAAAAGGATGGGAGTGTTGCGAGATCTTCTTGAGGAAGAGCAAGACTTGGAGATCCTTACGACTCGCTTGGTCCACGACTGGCATCAAGAATGGTAAAGAGCAGAAGCAGGGGCTGAGAAGAGGACGTCTTGTGGCAAGAGAGTTTGCTAACGCAAAAGAGATGACATACATTCGCCTACTTCAAGCACCCATGCACTTCGACTTTTACCCGTGATGTTTTGATGGACAGGGAGGGAGGGAGGGAGGGAGGGAGGGGTGGCTGGGAAGAATGCGCCCTATGAGGCGCACAGCTGCGCTAAAGATTGTCAAACGTCCAAAGCATTTCTCCATCCCGCACTAGCACGCTCAACTCAAGCCGAACGCGCTGTACATCTGACAGCTGCATCGATCAGCACGAGCGCCCAGATGTGACCAGGAATCCATCCCGCCTATCGATCACTTATATAAAGGGGATGGATTCCCAGGGTGACCTCACTTACAAAAAGCACAGATAAAAAAACGACAAGGAAAAACACACAAACACAAAGAAAAAAACGGGACACAAACATTTATTCTTTTTATATGAGGAAATCGCCCATGTATACTTTCTTTCTCTTTTGGCGATTTCCAATATAATTAATGACCTAGCAATTGACCCCGGATACAATTTAGAATGAAAATATCAAGTCCACTTAATTTAGGTGGTAATAATAAATAATGCATTAAAAACTATTGAAATTACTTAAGGATTTTAATGCCATGAAAAATAAATATGCTATAACATTTATGGATTAATAAGCGATTTTTAATAAGTGATCATAAATTTTATAGCCCTTACAATCGCATCTGTCCCTTATCATTCACCTCTAGATCTAGGATGTGATTGCAAGGTTCATTCACCAATATTTCCCCTTTCATATTTTAACCCATGGAAAATAT